CTCTAATTATTTTATAGTGCATGGGTAATTTGTTTGTGTGGATATTATGAATGTGGAGAAGATTCTCCCACTGCGGGGAGAGACTAGGACCTGAAGGCACAGCCTCAAACAGAAGGGACAACACTTCAGAACTGAGATGAGGAATTTCTTCAGCCAGAGGGTGGTTAATTTGGAATTGGTTGCTCCAGAAGGCTGTGGAGGTCAGGTCATTTAGTGTATTTAAGACCAAGATAGATAGGTTTTTGATTGGGAGAGGGATTAATGGTTATGGTGAGAAGGCAGAAGAATGGGCTTGAGAAGCATTTCAGTCATGATCAAAAGGGGGAGCAGAATTGATAGGCCGAACGGCCTAATTGTGCACCTATATTTAATGGTATGCCAATAAGTCTGCAGATGCATTGACTTTTGATTCTGGCAACTGAACAACTGCATTCAAAAAGGCACAAGCCTTCAAATGGTTTTGGCCTTGTGATACAACTTGGGCTTTGAGGTGTGACCAACATTACATCTATTTTACATGGTTATGTGGCCAATGTGAGAAATGGCAGCACTGTTTTGTACTGATAAAAATGTTACATTTACCATTTAAATATTTTGAGAAATCGATTTTGATTTATCTTCCTAGGAGCTTGAGAAATGCGAGGCTAACCATTACATCATCTTGTTCCGTGATGCGGGCTGCCAGTTCCGAGCACTTTATGCATATTCCCCAGACTCTGAAGAGATCCTGAAGTTAACTGGGACAGGGCCAAAAAACATTAATAAGAAGATGATCGACAAGCTTTACAAATACAGCTCGGACAGAAAGCTGTTTAGCTTAATACCTACTAAAACCATGTCAGTCAGTGTGGATGCTATCACAATTCACAATCACCTGTGGCAAGCCAAGCGGTCTGCAGTGCCAAAGAAGCAGTCAACTGGAAAATGAAAGAATTTTTTGCTGGTTAAGTTTGAAATTCTCAGACGCCCTCCCCCTGCAAAGTAGTTGATTGTGTTGAAATTCACAACTTTTCCATTTTATTTGGTGGCCGTTCCATTCTGGGAGAGTTCAAATCCCTTCAGATTCCGTTACAGACGAGAGAATGGAAACTTTTGTTTGTAAATGAAATATGATGTATTCTTCAAAGGATGGAGTGAATTCATGGGCCATTATCCTGAAAGATTTTTGGTCTCTGGGTGTCAAGATCTGGCAGTGCGTGTCAGAACTCTGGCTTAATTTTCTGCACTGGTTACTCTGGCTTGTAGCAGTCTTTTCTTTGCATGTGGCAAGTTTCCTAACCAGTGGATTCTTAAAAGTATTTGTGGACAGTAGATGTGAAAATCCTCTTCGGCATTATCTTTCTTTTCCCCTCTATTCCTCTGTGGAATAGTGTCTCCATGAAGAATTAGTAATACAGCAGTTAAATTTGGCTTGAGGTATACTTGGAATGTTAGGTTTTATAACACTACTTTTACTACAGTATTGATCTGAAATTGAAACAATATAGAAAACTTTTTTTTCCTGTATTGGTGAAGGTAATTCCGGTCTGCCTTTGGCTTAACTGGGTGCAGCAATTGGATCAATTCAATAACTGCCAAGGAACAATGATTGCTGACTTTCCACAATTCCAGATACTCCTTAATTTTCTCCTTGTACTCTTGCCGAGAACAGTGATAGATTGTGAGCTGTGCATTTTAAGAAAGCATCATGACTGATTTTACCAATAGCCATAGTACTCTTGGCACAGCAATCATGCAGAAGTATCTGCGCAAACCACACAAGATGGCAAGATGATGGAATTGACAGTCTGATTTAATAAACATTTGAATTTGGCACATTTTATAAGTACCATCGTTTTAGACAAAGCTTGTGTTCTGCAGTAATGATTGGGTGTTAATTGTTCAGTAAGGAAGATTGTCGTAGAAGTAGAGTATTAGCACAGAGCACCTTGCTGTCTGAAGGCACACTGAGAGATCACAGTCAAAATTTAATGCTTTTTAATTGCATCATGCATTCTGAAAATCTTCTATCCTCTCTCTCATTTTCCAATACTGTATGAGCAGCATGCTCTTGTAAGGGTGTACATTCTGTTAAACCTCAAACCTTATTTTCTTTTGGGATTGCAGTATTTAATATATTTCTTAACCTCTTATTCTTTCGTGTGTCATCCTTAGCTAATTTCTGCACAATGGAATTTCTCTCAGCAGGCACTCATCAAACACAGCTTTCTTTTCCTGTTCTGAAGTTTTTAACGTAACCTGTCAAGAGCTGCGTGTGTTCTGTTTAAAATAAAAAAATCTTTCTATTAAGTGGTATAGTGGAAAATAATTTGATCGCTGTATGTGTGGTCATGGTGATGATCCTTAAAGCTGCATCCTTTTCCCCATTACTATGCAGCATTGTCATTCAGTGGTGATGACCTAATAAGACAGCTGTAAAGCTGCTTACAGCGCACGATTTTGAATTTCTCTTGAGCATGTCCATCGGGTCAGAGTACCACTGACATAAGACAGTTTCTGAAATAGGAACTTATTTTTAAAAACAGAAATTGAGGCTTTATGGATAATCATAGTATTTAATTGCTGCTGTCTATAGACAATTTCATTTTTTTAAAGCTATGTAAAAAATACACTCCAAACCTGATTGGTAACGGAAAAGACAGCAGAGGGTTTGCAGTTGTAACCAAGTACTGCAGTCATGGTTATGTGTGGGTTTACCTACAATGGTATACTGTCTGATTTGAAAATGGAGTCAGCTTCATCTTGGGAGTAGGTTAAGTTTCTCCAACAGAGAAAGAAGCTTGTGGTTTACTGAAATTGTTCTTATGCAGATTTTACACTTCTGTTTTATTTTTGGTTATTGGTTTATAGGAAGGGAATTATTGTTAAATGGTTAGCCTTTGCTGTCTGTCTCTTACCACCCTTTTCAAAAACCTTTGTGGCTGTGCACAAGCAAGTTACATTTGCTCATGCACGGTTACTGAATGTGAGATGGATTGTGTGCATTTAAAAATGTTCAAACAAAATTGATGGAGCGCCATGGAGAAATGTTTTTTATATATATATATAAAAGAAATATATATATGCAAGAATTTTCATTGGTCTGCCAGAAATCTTAATTTCTAAAATGTGAATGAAATAGTGTCAAAGAATTTTTTTTTTCCTTTTTAAATCTGTGTTTATGCATTGCATTTTTACAACCAACTGTAATGCATCTGTTCAACCTGGTTAGTAAAGAAATCAGCAAACATTTGATTTTGCTGATGGTTTTTGGTGAGTGCGTGATACAGAGGACTGAAAGTTGTGACGAATAAGTATGGTGTAGCAATACTTGAAATGTTTATCTCTGATTAAGTGGGTTCTTGAAGAGAAAATGATTAAAAACATACAAGCTTTACTTTTCCTCTAAGTAGTTTTCTGTATGGAGCCCAGTGTCTTGAATGTAGGCCAGCACTAAGCTAGTTGCATGTTTGATGTATATTAAAGGGATTCATATCTGTACAACACTAAAGAGTAGCTTAAGTATTTGTACATATTTTGAAATCTCACTACTTGTATTTTAATAGAATTGAACTGTCTAATGTATTTAATATGTACCTTGTTTTCCTGTTGCTTTTCAGTGCCAGAGATTCAAATACACTCAAGAAGCTTTGCTCTAGAAGTGCATTAAATTTCTCATTGCAGTGAGAGTTTCCAGTTTTTTTGACAATTTTATTACATTTGATAAAATGGATGATTAATTCTAGTAAGCATCATTAATTCTAGATAGCTCAGTTAAAGTTCACCTATATATTTATCACATCGCTGAAAGAATTCAGGATGTATAAAATCTTTTAAATTTAATAGTTTTTTTTTATTGTAATGGGTGTAAAACATTTGTTTTTACCGGTCAGCATAGAACAACATGGATTCCTTCATGTTGTGTAAAGTGATATTTGGTTTAGTAAGTGAAATGATCCACAGAAGGCAAGATGCCCATCTGTAAAGGCACTATTCAAAAAGTGGGGGGTATTAAGGGATTCCATTACTTATTGTGCATTATTTCTTACATTACGTTGAAATCTTTAGAAATTGACAGCTGTAAGATATTAGGTGATATATTGGTTAAATATATTCTAACGATTAAGATGTGGATGTAAATTTAGCTTGGGTTGATAGACAAAATGCAAGTCTCTGCTGTCCAGAGATCTCCCAAGTGAATTGAGTTGTGTTTATACCCTAAATAACATTGAATATGATTGGATGAAACTTGTTATGAAGTATAATGCTCTGGTATTAAATACAGTCCAACAAAATGTTATTCCAATTGTAGTTTTATCTTGAAAGTAAATTCAAACTTTATGTGAACCATTTTCTCTCTTCAGAAAGCTTACCATCAAGAAAATCCAATAGTAGAAATAGAAAATGTACTCTACTTCAACAACACTATCATAATTTAAGATGGCTGTGCTGACAGCATGAAGATTAAGTGCCATGCAGTATGGCATTCTTTTCATTTTCTGCTGCCATTATTTATTGTGTATCAACTAGGCTTAATTAAGTTACAGTTGAAATGTATGTTACAATACTAAAGCCTTTTAAGACCCTTTAGGTAAAACTACAGCCACTATCATAATATATGGAAGAGTTTGTAAAGTCAGGTTGTTTGGTGATGCCATGCAATATCCCCAAACATCTCTTTTATTTTCTATATTAGGGATGTAGGTGATCCGGTCATCAGTAAGGTGGTAAGCGTTGTTATTTGCAGTCAGATCAACTATTGTGATGGAACTATAAAAACCTAATTACACACCGCTGTTCTCTTTATAACAATTTTAATAGTTAATCTGGATCCTTCAGAAAAATCAGAAATCTGAAATTGAAAGTGAAGATACTAGAAGTACTCAACAGGCTCACAATGCCTGAGGAAGAGAGGCTAATTTAGTGTTTGATTACAGACCTTTGGACACGTCTGTGTCAGAGTCTGATGAAAGAATCTGTGTCTGAAATATTTTTGTTAAACATCAAGTACATTGAAACTTTATTTGATATATTCATAACACATATTAGTAAACTATTTATGTTGCTGTTCATGGTCAGGCAACAAAGGTAAGTTGCTTCCACATATGCAAGCTGGTGAGAAGGGAGAGAGGTTTCCTCTCCGTAGTACCTAGTGCCAGAATCTACATTGTTACAGCTGATTCTTCACATTGCCAAGGTTTAATTTATAACCCTTTGCAGAATCAGTTATGTGATGCAATACAAGTATGATTAAAAATCACGACAACTGTGTGCACTTACTTCTGTGTGTGCATATATATTTAGAGTAAATTTGTATTTCTTTAATGCATCCAGTTAACACCCTGTGACAAGCAAACCAAAGTATAGTTGTATCTTGCAGCTGGCTTCTGTCTGTAACAGCATTCCTGCCAGCAAACCACATTGTAAAAGTGAAAGATGGTAAGTTTGTACATATTGCTGATAATGGAGACTTAAATATGCTGCAAACCTTCATGGAATGAAGACAACATTGATGAACAGCTGTTGGCTCCCTCTAACTTTTGTATTGTCATGTTTCCTTGACATGGGAGATTAGTTCAGATTTTTCTGATTATCATGAATGGTAATCCATTTATTTTTAATGAGATAATGTAGATCAGAAAGTCCAGGCTTGTTTTGTTTTGTGTTTATTGGGTAACTGTTTCATTTTGTTACATTCAGATGGTAACCACCTGTCCATTCAAATATTTTGTGCTCTTTGATTCCCTCAATTTTCATACATTCAATCTAAATACTTTTTAAAGTTACTTATTTATTAAGTTAAATGACACGACTGCTCCCTCAGCAATTGAAATATTAAAAATATCTTTACCAAGCTGCGTGGAGTTTTTTAAAGCAACCAAGTTTTATTTCAGAAGTCTTTGTAACCTTTTTTTAAAGGCTAGTTCGATACAGGTACAAGGGATTGGGCAAGTTGGCCAATTGTGACTTTTTTCAGGTATTTTCTAGTTTCAAGTAACTTGTTAAAAATATCCATGGTAAATTATTTTACAAATTAAAATATAGCTTGTCAAATCATGAACAATAAGTACAGTGACATTTGTACAAAGAAGATTCCACCTTATACTAGTCAGCCAATGTTTTGTTGTTCTAAACATGTAATGCAGAAACAATGGGCATTAAAAGTTTTAACATTAACATGCAATCATACTTCTTCCCCACCCACATTACTGTTGTGAAAACTGTTCTCTAGAGCTGAACATACAAGCAGCTTTGTAGATCTTTAATGCAACGTGCTTTTGGGAGAATTGTTTAGTGCAAAGAAAGTGCAATTGTCTTGATCTTTTGAAAGAGAAATACTTTCAAAGTCAGCACTTTTTGAAATGGGCCATACTTAAAACAAGCTGTCACAGTTTGATGTAATTACGCACTGATTACAGTTTACATTAGGAAAACCAGGTTGCACTGATGCATTTGGTGAAGTAATCTCAAGATGTTGACAGTGGAGTCTAGGGTTGTCAAATGCAAGTTTGTCTTCCACTGCTTTTTCCCCCCTGTTTCTGTGTGTTTTAAAATCAGTGTGTGACATGGATTGAAAGTTTGCAATATGGTGCAGCCTTTTGTAAATAAGTGTGTGGATAACTGGTCTGTTGGAACTGTAAATACCTAAGGACTCTACCAAATTATTTTCTAATGGTTTGAGTATTGCTATACAGATCACAGTAATGGCGTCATTTTTTTTTTGTAATATTACCATACTTCCCATCATCACCTAAATGTTTTGTCCACTTGTATGTTTAACATATAAAACATATTTATTTTGAAAAGCACTGAAAAGTTAATAAAGAGCAGTGAACTATCGATTAGGTCATTTGTATTGTTTTGATTCTCATCACTTTGATTTTGTTCATCACATTTTGTTGCAATATTTTTACACATCTATGTAATCATTGACTTAGTGGAGTAAGGGTTCGTTTACAATCACTCAAGCTAAGTTGTATATATCACAGAAGCATGTTTTTTTAAAAAATCTCAATCATCACTAAATGATGGTTTATTATTACTGTGCAAAATAAATGAGTGAAATCTGGGGGAGAGGAGGTTTTCAACTGTATCCAACATCTGTGCAAGAGTCCGTGTCATTCAAAGATGGTCGTCAATTGAGGAATTGACAGTGCTGATGTTAGGTGAATACTCCTTTGAATCTGAAACTGAAGTTGTATAAAAGAGGTAAGTGGTTTCTACAATGCCTGGATGAAGAGGAGGATGATGCAAAAATAAGAAGATTTCTTTAATATCATATCACAATTTTTAGGATCTCTACTATGTATTGGGAGTGTATGTTACATAGTTAAATCCTCCTACAGGTATTTGCAAGTTTTTGCTTCTTTCCCTGCCATGTGAAGATAGAAGCAAGCCATTCAGCTGCTTGAGCTTGCTCCACCATTCCAGTTCATGGCTGATCATCTACCAGACCACCATATTCCTGCATTGTCCCCTTAATCCTTGATGTCATTACTCGCTAGAAATCTAACAATCTCTGTTTGAACTTAATGACTGGGGTAGAAAATTCTAGAGATCCACCACCCTCTGGGTGAAGGTGTTCCTCCTCATCCTATATGGCTTGTCTTTCATTCTGAGACTATGTTCCCCCTAGTTCTATACCTCACAGCAAAGCATAATTTATTTCTGTATTCTCTCTATCCATTTAAAAATCCCACAATACACAATATTCCCAGGTGTTCTTCCACCAGTTTTCCATATAATTGAAGCAAGTTGTTGCTCGTATGCTCAACTGATCTTACAATAAAGGCTAACAAACTATTTACCTTCCAAATTGCTTGTTGCTTCTGCATGCTTGCTTTCAATGGTTTATGAGCAGCAACACCTAGGTCCCTCTGGACATAAACACTTTCCATCTTGTGCGTTGTAGATGATGAATAGGCTCTGGGATGTCACGAGGTGAGTTAGTTGCTGCAGAATTCCTAGCCTGTGACCTGCTGATCTCTCACAGTCATATTATATTCCATCTGCCATCGTCTTGCCCACTCAGCTTGTCTAGATCCCCTTGAAACCTCTTTGCGTCCTTCTCACAAGTCACATTCCCATCAACTTTTGCATCATCCATAAACTTAGAAACATTACAGTTGGCTTTCACATCCAGATCGTTTGATATAGTCTGTGAACACTTGGTGCCCACTGCCTACAGCCTACCAACAGTAGAATGACCTTGGAATGGTAAACGCAGGAAGGATGTTCCTGATGACGGGGAGTCTGAACCAGGGGTCACAGTCTAAGGATATGGAGTAGGCCGTTTAGGACTGAGATGAGGAGAAACTTCTTAAACCAGAGAGTGGTGAGCTTATGTAATTCTCTGCCACAGAAAGTGGTTGAGACCAAAACACTGAATTTTTTTTC